CTACAGTTTTAACCACTATATTAATAGGATATTGATGAATTCCAGGCCTAATTGGAAGGTAGAAAGGACTGGCCTTGGTCTGTGTTTCACAGATGTGGCACATGAATATCATGACTCATTCCCTAGTTTCTGGATTTAGGAGCCATTTAAATGAGGCATGAAAACCCGTCTCTGGGAAGAAGATCAAGAATTCTTTTTTTTAATATATCAAGCCAACAACTTGACTATAAAAGTCCCAAGCTAGAGGTCAGGGCTAATGTCAAAAATTTGGGAATTAGGACAGTCAGAACAATGGCTTGTCAATGATGCCAACGTCCTAATCTCTGGAACCTTTGAATAAGTGACCTTACATGATAAAAAGGACTTTGTAGATTGATTCAGCTAAAAGTCTTGAAATGGGGAGATTATCCTAGATTATCTGGACAGGCCCAGTGTAATCACAAGGATCCTTATAAAACGGGGGAAAAGGCAGATGGTGTGCAGGAGAGTGTAATACATGGCAATGCTGGACTCACATGGGAAGGTCCCAGGTTTGCCTACATGTACACTCCTGGTATATGACCAAGTGCCCCTGACATTGGCTAGCTGAGGCTGGAGATAAAACGAGATATCAAAATCCTGTTAAGGATGCCTCTCTCTCTTGTTCATGGAAGAGTAAATAAACTTGAAAAAAAAATTTTAGAAAGCGAAGAAGGAGGAGCCAGAAAGAGACTGAATGATGTTATACTACTGGCTTTGAAAACAGATGATGGGGCCTTGATCCAAGGAATATAGGTGGGTCTCCATAAGCAAGAAAAGACAAGGAAACATATTCTCCCCAAGAGCCTTTAGAAGGAACACAGCCCTGGGACCAGCAGATGGCATAATGGTTACATCACTGGACTCCCACGTAGTCAACCATGGTTTGAGTCCTGGACCCAGTGGCTTAAAACACATATGCATGCATGCCCAAAATCCCTAGAAGAAAGTGGATTGAGGCATGGCCATCCCCCTGGGGGGTGATTTTTCTTTTTGCTTCTGTCTCTCCGGTGAGTGCATGCACCCTATACCAAAAAACTCAAAAAAAAAAAAAAAAGGAAAGAAAAAAGGAATATTGCCCTGCTGACACTTTGCTGTTAGGACTTTTGTCTTTAAGAAGTATAAAAAAATAAATAAATCTGTATGTGTTAAGTCACTAAATTTGTGGTAATTTGTTACAGCAGCAAAAGCAAACTAGTACAGATAGTGATAGTGAAAGTGTACATCAAAGGAGCAGTAACTCAACACAATCTTCTTGAGAAGGCACAAGGAAATGGGTACCAGAATGAATGTGGAAGGGATGGCCAATTAAGGCGGGACATTTCTTCTTTTGTAGCAGAAGTGGAGGAGGAAGTTGGAATGGAGACTGATATGTAGAAACCACAGTAGGAAGATTAAGTCATTCCCAAATGATGACTTTTACAATCTCAGCAAGTTATTTGGCGAGGTCAACACAAGTCAGGAGTTTAACCGAGGGCATATGATTCTTAATTTTATGCAGTTTCTATACTGTACTAAGTGATTTCCAAGATCTGCAGTAGAAATAGGAGCAGTGTCCACAGAAGGGCTATTATGTCCAGACAAATATTTTAAAAAGTCAGGTGGAAAGATATATAGTAATTAGATGTAAATTTAAAAAAATCAAAATAAATTTAAAAACTTGAATGTGCCATTCAAGGCAAAAAGGAGCAAATGGTTGGCTAAAATGTTCCTTTATTTCCTATAGCCACGGTAGAATGTGCTGCTTAGACTAAGCACTTGGATTCGGCATCTGGATCCTTCTCAATGCAGTAATCTCTAAGGGAGCAGATATCAACCACTAAACTATCTGAATTGGTACGTGAGATGAAGTTAATTTGCCATTCCTGACCTAGAGACTATACTTCTTTATATCTCCTCCTCCCAGAGGAGATGATTTTTTAATATTACTAAGAAGCAGATGGGGACTAGTAACTATTAAGTTTCTGTCAAGAAGAGAATTATTAAGAAAATTTTATTAGGAACTTACATGCAGCCTTTAAAAAGAATGAGCTAGAGCTATACACAATGATGGAGAATATTTCTAAGACAGGTTGTTACATGACAAACCAGGTGCAGAACAATTATATAGCTACTTCCATTAACGACTTTAAAAATGAAAATCCATATGCACACAAGCTCATATGCACGTGAATGTTCAAGAAATGTCTAGAACAGAGTATATCATAAAAACCATAGCCTAGGGACCAACAGTTAGTGTAAATGGTTATGTCACTGGACTCCCATGTAGTCGATCGTGGTTCGAGTCCCAGACCCAGAGGCTTAAACTCACGCCGGGCGTGTGTTCATGCATGCCCAAGATCCCGGGAGGAGAATGAAGGAGAAGGGATTGTGGCATGGCCATCCCCCCTGGGGGGGGGGGTGATTTCTCTCTTTCTGTCTCTCTCTGTCTTTCTGGCGAGTGCATGTGCCCTATAGCAAAAACCTCTTAAAAAAAATAGCATAAAAATCTTTGAGGAAAGGTCTGTAATTAAGTACAATAAGGGGTGAATGGAAAATCTCACTAGGCTCTATATGTATTTTTATATTGAGTGGTTTATGACATGGGCTTTTAAATAAAACTTTTTAGTTTTTTTTTTTTTTAGAGGTTTTTTGCTATAAGGCACGTGTGCTCACCAGACAGACAGAGACAGAGAGATAGAAAGCGAGAAATCACCCCCCAGGGGGGATGGCCACGCCGCAATCCCTTCTCCTCCATTCTCCTCTCAGGATCTTGAGCATGCACGCACAAGCGTGAGATGTGAGTTTTAAGCCACCGGGTCCGGGAGGCAAACCATGGTTGAGTACATGGAAGCCCAGCGATATAGCCATTACGCTAACTGCTGGTCCCTAGTTTTTGGTTTTTATTTTGTTTTAATAGACTACAGAAAAAAATGCCTGGGCTCTTTCACATTCAGACCCATATGGATTCAATCCTATAAACCCTAGAGTAAGTTTTTCTTTTTAGACGTTTCTTATGAAAGGAATATAATGGATGTGGCATTACTCCATGCACAATAAATGTCAATAGCTTCAAATGTCACACACCCCCAGTCGTGGGAAATACTTCTTGTACTTTGTTATTCACTCCACTGCTTTCAAACCCTCCCTATACTTTCGCTTCCCATCTAGTCATTCTTTTCACAAATCTCAGTTAATTGACATCATCATTAATTACTCCCAAACCTGGTCATTAAAATTACTTTTCCCCCTTTTTTAGTGCTATGACATCTCAACTATAATGTTCCTATTTGATTCAGTTTGCCTTGTATGAGTAACGTTTCCATAAGTCTGCATCCCACAACACCGTTTTCCTTGTTCTGTATTAGCATATCATTTACATTAACTTCCTTAACCAAATCTTCTTTAACTCTCATTACTACTCTCTCTCACCCTGCTCTCTCTTTCACTTCCCATCATGAATCTGATCCTTCACTTCACATACTGATGTTTCCTGCCTCCATGGTCAAGGTTTACGACACTCAGTAACTGTATATGTTCACCTATTATATAAGCATTTAATTTCCTCCCATAAAATATTTAACTTTTTTCAGTCTTACTGATTTCTCTAACCATTTCCCTTCATCTTCCCTTCTCTATCCCACCCATGCCTGTCTTAGAAATTCTAGAACCTCCTCTCCCAAGCCATCCTCAACTCTCTACACACATCTTCCACTTTTTAGTACTGAGTTCCTGCAGGCCCTGTTCTAAGCACTATTTTAACATACAGACTCATTTAATCCTCCTGCAACCTGCTGACACAGATACTATCAATATGATTATTCCAGAAACCGAGAAGCTAAAAGGGCATGGAGATCTTCCGGGGCTCAGGATTCCATACCCTTTGCAGATGCACTTGCTCCGTACTTCAGCAGGTGTCTCTGGGGGAACAGGCAGCATTTCCTTTTCTCTGCTCCAGCTACACCTAGGTCTCACCCCCACTGTGGCAATTGCCATATGGTACTATGACCAAGTGTTACTGACTTGTCTTCTTCACATTATATGACCTTTTTTTTTCTTGCTAGAGGACACGTGCACACATGCATGTGTGTGTAATGCATGTACAAGAGAGACAGAAACAAAAAGAGCTAGAGAAAACACTCCTCAGTGGGGCCTGGTCATGCTGCAATCCTATTTCTTACGATTTTCTGTTCCATCAGGAGATGTGTACATGCAAACCCAGGGTGGTTGTCAAGCCTCCAAGGCTAGGACTTGAACCCTGGTTGGCTGTGTGGGAATCAGCTTCCTTTGCACAGTAGGAAAATTTCTGTGCTATGGGCCCTGCCTCTAAGACCTCCTGGAAGACGAAAACTGTCCATCTCTCTCTTCTTAAACCATGTAATGGCACCTGATACTAGGAAGGATTAAATACATGGTTTCTTTTTTTCTTTCTTTCTTTTTTGGAGAGGTTTTTGCTATAGGGCACGTGCACTCGCCAGAGAGACAGACAGAGACAGAGAGATAGAAAGCAAGAAATCCCCCCCCAGGGGGGAATGGCCATGCTGCAATCCCTTCTCCTCCATTCTCCTCTCGGGATCTTGGGCTCACACACACAGGCGCACAGCATGAGTTTAAGCCACTGGGTCCAGGACTCGAACCACAGTTGACTACATGGGAGTTCAGCGACACAGCCATTACTCTAACTGCTGGTCCCAATACATGGTTTATAAAAAAAGGAATAAACCAAATGTGTGCACTTTTAACAGCACTCTAACCCTAGCAATGGCAGGCACCTCCAATATAGGCAGACTTGGGGATGAATTTCATTGCAAATTTTTAAGACTCCTGCCTTAATATTGATAATAAAACACACACAAACATAGGGGGCTTGAGGAGCTGGACTGATATGTCTCTGTTTACTCAGCAACAACAAAAGAACTTCAGGTGCCATTTTCACCAAAGAAGACATTTAAGTGGTGGACTCTGTATCACCAACATGATAGATGCACGGACTCTAGAGTTACCTGACAGCGCATCATAGAACTCATCCTCACTAAGGATGCTGAGAGGTGGAGATCCTTTAACCAGAGACTGCTCTAATTCATGATGTTCAGTGGCTAGAGTCTCCAGCGCTTCTGACAAAATTTTGTTTTTTTCTTGCTCCTGTTCCAATTTAAAATTCCTCACCTAGAAGAAAACAGATACACAAAAAAGATTTCAGCATGACAGGAGACACAGACTTACTCAGAGGATGTGAAAATTATTTGCTTTTGATTCAGTTCAACTGCAGCATCAAAAATGAAAACAGTCCTGTTATATACACATGGATGAATGAGCAAAATTACTAAGCTAATTTTGTTCTTCCCCTGGGGCCTTTTCTCACAACAGCTTAGCTAATGAAAATAGATTAAGACCTAGCAAACAAATTCATTTCAAATGATCAGGATCCTAGTGCAAGAAAAACATTCATCAATACAGAGATCACATAGTTTGTTTTTTTTTTTTTAAATAGAGAATGTTTTCCTCTCAACATTAAACGTAAAATTAAGAAAATAGTTTTGGCAAGTTTTGGAACAAAATAAAGAATTAAAACCATTCTCAATATTAAAATGTGTACCACATTAAAGTGTAAGATTTTTAACTCCCACCCCCAGTTTATTTCCAAAACAGGTGGTATAGCAATGAAGGGAAACCAGTTGCCCAGTAGTGACTACAAATATTTTATTTTTTAATTCTATATTTTGGTTTCAATTCCACATTTTCAATTCCACATTTCAATTCCACTTTAATTTTGTACAAAAGAAAGAAAGAGAGAGAGAGAAAATAAAAGAGAAGGAAAAGAAAAGAAAAGGAAAGAAAGAACGGTTGAAGCCTGATTTAATTTTTCACCTTTCTAAGATACATCTTATTCTTCCTTTTAGGTTCAGGAACATCCAAACCTTTGTGGTTGATTAAAACCCTCTAAATTTCAAGTAACCTAATCCTCATAAAATAACATGTACCAAAGTTAGTATGGTCAGTTTCACCTAGTTTTCTATCACAACTCTGAAAATCACCATTCTTTAACTTTACTTGATTTCTAGAGCCAAGGTATCATTATATACAAGGGCCAGTCAAGTTGGGATCCACTGTTAGCAATTACACATTCCCAGAAGTCTCTTCTTCTTTCATTTCTTCTATAAAATACAAGGTTTCTACTATCATCTGATAATTCAGTCTTCAAATCAGTGGTCTTTACACTGTTCTTTTTTCACTCTAGCAGCAGAACCACCTTCTCAAATATAATCCCAACGTATAACTCAGAAAGCAGAAACACACTGGTGATGTGGGTATGGATCAAAAGCCAGGCCTCTTTGCCCTTCCCACTCCAACCCCTTCCTGGGGCCAAAGTTGTTTCAACAGTTGGAAAAGCACTGGTTGGGGGGGGGTGGGGGTTCCAAAATCTCTTCCAGGTCAAACTTTCCATCTCTGGGTCTGGGGAAATGTGGAACTCCCCCTCAAGACTGCTAGTACCCACTACTCACTCCCTTAATCTAACCTCTCACTTCCTGACCTTCTTCTCCCCAGAGTCCAAGGGATGGAGATGCTTCTCTGTCCTGACTCCTCTGTGGCCTGAGTTTCTGACAGCTGCACATTAAGTACAGTCCAAGAGTCCTGGACATAGTATATCCAAGTATGCAGTTTTACTGAAAAGCTAAGTCCATAACAGAAACAGGGTTATACTGTTATTATCTTGGGAACAGTTCCTGTCCTTAGGCACCTTAGTGTTTATCATTACAGCAATGAGATTATTATTAGAGCCGTGAAATGAAATAAAAATAGCAATAAATGGTTAGCCATAATAAACAGAAAAAATGCAAAACTGAAAAATGTATACAACTTTTAAGAGACTGAAAAATTCTTGCAAATATTCCAACAACCTAAACTGTATCTCTTAAAGAAAAAAACTACTTGTTTTTTACATCAACTTAACAAAATAACAAACAGTTGTTCATCCTCCATTTGATGGATAATACATTTCACTTATTAAAATGGGCCTTTCTTTGAAGGAAAAGATCTGGTAGCACTTTTTGTATTTGTAGATTTCAAAAACAACAGTATGGGGCCAGCAGGTGGTGTAGTGGATAAGGGCTCTAGATTCCCACATGGCCAACCATGGTTCAAGTCCTGGACCTGGTGGCTTGCTTTCTCACTTTCCCTTTCTCCCTCTCTCATCAAATTAAAATAAATAAATAAATAAATAA